TCCTGCTTAAGGATACTGTTCTCCTTTGTCACTCCTGAAGATTCTTGCCCGTTTTTCTGCCCCCTTTTCCAATCTGCTCAATATTTTAACTCTCAGGTTGCCCACAAACATATCCCCTCAGTTCAGCTTTACTACACTGTCTTCACATTCGACTGGCCTCTTCATTCTCTAAAGCTTGTCTATGAAGACGGCATTCTGGCAGATCCAGAACAGCCCCTTGTAAAAATCCCACCCAATACAGCCTTCCCTGTGAAAAGGGACATTGGTAACTACTCTCGCACTCTGTTTTTCAGGCTTTTTTCATGTCTGCCCTGTAAGAGTTCAGCTAGAGTCTATGAAGACGGCATTCTGGCAGATCCAGAACAGCCCCTTGTAAAAATCCCACCCAATACAGCCTTCCCTGTGAAAAGGGACATTGGTAACTACTCTCGCACTCTGTTTTTCAGGCTTTTTTCCCCAGCTGAACCCTGTAAGAGGTCAGCTAGACCCCTCTGCCATCCTTCTTAACCAGCTGGGAAATACTGCAGAGCAGCCAAAATGACTCTCTATTTGAGCATCTCCAGAGAATACCTACACCACTCCGGCCCTCCAATCACTCACAAAGTTGAAAAGGGTCTTGATGAGGGAAGGGATGCTTTAGGAATTGGAGGGAGAGAAGCAAAATGTTGGAAACCAAGATTTTCATGCCCTCCCAGAAGAAAAGTAGAAACTCTGTATACTAAAAATACAAGCCAAGCAGCATTGTTCACAAAGGAATCACGATAAGACAAGTTATAAACAAGTTAAGAATGCTTCAAGCATGTTCTACAGTATCTGAAGAAGCATCACATGAAATTTCTCAATGTTAGCGGAGTTTGTGGAATAACTTCAATATTCCTAATATTTTTTAAAAATGTCACGTAACTTTATTCCTAACAAAACAGAAGACATGCAGAATGACTAGGGTGATGCTCAGTGCAAATCTACCTTTGGACAAGCAAGATTCCAGAGACGATCAGAATGTAATTCAGTTTAGGGGTGCTACATTAATGATTTTCAATAATATTTTCTGTAGATAACTGTGAACATTAAAATTCTGCTTCTCTAATCAGCTCCTACTTCATCATGTCTTCCAACAGCTGTCCATCAGGCTGAATCCACTGCCGTGAGGCGCAGGGATAACAACCCCTTGTTTCTGCAGTTCCCGTAAAACATCTAATATGGAATCCAATTCCACTCGAAATTTCTCCAGTTCTTGATTCTTCCGCTGCGCCAGCCTTCGCCACTTCTCCACCTCGTGGGTTGGCCTTGCCTCAGGAATACGGTGTGGTAGCTGGGTTGCCTGCAGGTTAGAAGCAAGTCAGCGCTGGGACTCCCTTAGTCAAGCGCTCAGCCAACGCGGCCTCTTGGCAGAAACACAGCGCTTCACTGTGGGTGACCCTCAGTCTGAACGCCCACTGCTCACCTCGAGTGGAAACGATTTGCTCCCAGTATTACACAAGTCACTGTGATGGCAATATCCTTTAAATATTTGCCTTAACGACAGCAGGGCAGAACCCATTACTGACTAATGAGAGCCTCAGGAGAATTTCATTTCTCCTCTCCAAAGAAGCAACTAAAAGTGTGAATATTTTAGACAAAGCTGAGCATAAAGCCCTCTGTAATCCAAATGGAGCTTTTGAATTGCCATTTCCACGCGTTAATTAAAAGGACAGTCTGCAAGAGGAACAAACCAAATCTGAATGACGTGTTCTGGTCTTAAAAAGTATATCTTTTGGTTTTAAAAGTACTACCATACTTTTAAAAGCCCCAAGTTCTGTGAATTATCAGAAAATCGCCTGTAGTCAAAGCTCTGAAGCTGCTGCAGATAACATTTTGAATTAATTTTGACATGAATCTGTGGTATAAGCCTATTAAATTACCCAAAATAAAAAGCGTCCTAAGATACCAAAATCTCCACACCCCTATTTATCGTAATGGATTCTCTAAGGGAAGCTCTGTCACCTACAGGCTGTAATTACTGTATTTGTAATTTGGGTTCTTAGGATGACCTGTTATTTCCCTGTTCAGCAATTAGTTTCTCTACATTGTTCAGTTCATTTGGGGGACCGTTCGGTGCCCCACTGCAGATAATTAAAGGGGCAAAGCCAGGACAAACAAGGCTTAATACGTAACAAGGCTAGTAGCGACAGGAAAGATGCAATCACTTAGCAGGGATTGTTGCGTATACCATTATTTCTATTTTTTTAAACCCATCACCAAACATCTTAGTAAATACTAGAGGGTCAGGTAATGAATTCAGCAGAGACGGATCACAGACTAAGCAGCAACAGCCACTTCACACAAACAGTAAAGAAACTCACAGAAAATCAAACGAATGGCATAAAAAAAAAAAAGTAACTGCGTTACAGTTGCCTTTGGCAGGACAGAATGTGAAGAAAAAGCAAATCATGTCAGCAGGATTTGTTCTTAATGCAGTGACTTGTTTTATGCATCATTCTTTTTGGAAAGAAAATTAAATATCTGATGCAGACATGCATGAGAATACAACCTTCTACCACCACCAATTGTGTATGTAAGAGTGTGTTCCTTGAGATCTGGTTTCAGAACTGCAGAACAAACTCCGCAGACTAAGAACTACTACAGGTTTGAGGATCTTCCAGTCCAACTGCCCTTCTTTGACTCCATGTATTTAAGTAAAACCCAAGTTAAACACTAACAAAAGACAGTCATGTACTGAAGTGATTAAAAAGTGTTGAGAAAAACAATCTGTATGAACTAGAAAACTGTCTCCAGTTGACAGAAGCTCCCCAGAGAAATGAAAAAAAAAATCAAGGTACAGGCCATGAGGTAACATAAGATGAAAAGAGATCAATGCAAAATTGATTATTTTGTTTGATTTTCATATTGATTCAAAACCAATACAAATGTCAGATACGAGAAGCTGTATCACAAAGATCCAGCTGTCAAAATCCAACAGTTTTAGTTTGTGGAGAGCAACGGCTGCTTTTTGTTGTCATTTCGGGCATTACAAGCCGTGTCTGGCAGGCCGCTGCGAGATGTTTCTGTATATTTAACGCAGCTTTATTGAATGGGACTTTGAGGACTAGAAAACGACCGGTTCAGCTGAGGAATAAATCATAGCTCAGCATACTCCGCATCACAGCTCCCCGCTGGCATTTCAACAGCTGCCTTCGAATAACCGAGGAGACGAGGGACTCGTAGCGGTTCACGTGCTCCGAGCCCCTGCAGAAGCCCCGGCCGCGAGGAAGTTGCGCACCCGATGTGCGCGCTCAGTGACCATGGCAAGGAAGCGCCGACCGGCACCGCGCCTGCCCTCGCATCAGCGGGCACCAGGGGCAAAACCACGGCTCAAGCGAAAAAACAAGCCTTCGCAAATACCGTAAAATTACAGTTAAACCACGAAATTGCTCTTGAGAAGTAAATGCAGGTATGCCCTGGTGTACCTTGAGAATTTCCTGCTCTCTTTTCGCGTGTCTGGTCTCTATCTGCTTGATTTTCTCTTCCAGGCGCAGGAAGTGTTTCATTTCAGGACTCTGGCTCTCCTTAGCCTCTCTCAGTTCTTCCAGCAATTTTGTCACCTACCGTTGGAAAGAATCGATGGCAATTGTTATCACTGTGTTAAGGAGTGTGTAAAACCGCTTCCTTTCAAGGTGTAGTCGCCTTGTTTAATCATTCCATTCAAAAGTGGCAGAAAGGAAGAGGTAAAGGAGAAATCTCCCGTATTCCAAAGCTTAAACGGGGGCTCAGGGACTCAGATGAGGATCTTTCATTTGTGAGAAGTGGCCTGAGGCTACAAACATCCAGTCTTTTCCATAAAGCCAATCCTGTTCATAATACGTTACTGGGTGAGTATCCAGAGTCAATTTTCATACCCCTCAACATACTAAAAATTAATAGAGAACATTGTGATTGGATGTTCTTACATAATCCCTTCTCACACCCTGGATAACGATCAGATATCACATACGTAGCAGTGTATCTCTAAGGAACAAATTAGAAGAGACGCTGCTAAACACGCAGGATTGCACACCCCCTTTGGCCAGCTCAAATCAAATCTACCAGTGCCTTACAACCTATTTCCTGATCCTCCAGAAACTGGTTTATTCTCATTCTTTGCCTATTTTAAGCAATGTCATTTTTCTTCCTGTAACATCCTACGTCTGTTTTGGTCACTTTCTTAATGTGTGTAAGTAAACTAGAGCGGAATCGCTGCAGTTTTTATCCTTTATTATAACCCTGAGGCTCCCCTTACCCAGTGTATCCGTGAACTGCTAACCCTCTTCAAGCACCCAGCCATCCTTGGCTCTGCTGCGGCAGGCGAGTAGCAGGGAGCACTGTGTACTTCCCAAGAGAAGTGACTCCCAGATGCCTTACTGTTACACTGCTATTTTCTACTGTGGTTTTCTAAAATAACAAGGCCTACATTATGACATTTCTCCTGTCCGTTTCTCCAGCAGCTTCCAAACTCTGGGCCAATTTCGGCAACGTCTGTCAGAGGAGCAGAACTCTTCGTTTCACAAGTTCTGTGAAAAACGAGCTTCTTGTCTGCCAAGCTGCCCCACTGAACGGAAGAGCTAATGGCGTGAGCTCAGACACGTAATTCAGTTCAAGAAAGGTGTTAAGAGTGGGGGAAAAAGCCCTGGGAGAAAACAGGCTCCGTGTATTTTACCAGAAACAGACCTGCGTTAGATACAAACCTGCAAGCTGTTAGGCAAGAGAAGTGTATGGTTAATGGAAAACACCCCTGAACAGCATTTCTGAAGTTAATATTCAAATAGGAATTTTCCAGCGAGCCCCAGGAAAAAGGAAATTTGCCTTTTTTGAGGCACCAACGCTTTAGACAGAGGACCCTCAGCCCTATTACAAATGGTACTGCTTTTCCCTATCACGACTAAGTGCATTTGCAGGTCTGGTTGCCGCCTTCTTTCAGCTCAACTCCTCTAACCATTTAACCCTCAGAAGGTTCCTTCAAAAGCAGCACATATTGTTATTTCAGTAAAGCAATCGTAGCTTCGACATTTCACGCTGCGCACTCCTGCAGTGACTTCTGTACCAAAGGCACTCCATTACATTTTCTGAAATGCCAGCACCTTGTGCCCAGCCTGCAACACGAGGGTCAGGTGGGACGATCAGCCTCGTGACACCCCTGTCATTAATAACCGGCAAAACAAACGGGCACAGAAGAAACAAACCTGTTGCATAGCATTTGTCTCCTGTACCCTCACCCTGTTTGCCCAGGAGGAAGCAGTATTCATACACTGAGGTCACTGGAGTGAAATAAGCTTTGTATGGAAAAGAAAATGTGTGTCATTGTTCAGCCTGGAGAAGAGAAGGCTCCGGGGAGACCTTATAGCACCTTCCAGTACCTGAAGGGGCTACAAGGAAGCTGGGGGGGACTTTTTACAAGGGCCTGTAGTGACAGGACAAGGGGTAACGGGTTTAAATTGAAAGTGGGGAGGTTTAGATTGGATATCAGGAAGAAGTTCTTCCCAGAGAAGGTGGTGAAGCACTGGAACAGGTTGCCCAGAGAAGCTGTGGATGCCCCATCCCTGGAAGTGTTCAAGGCCAGGCTGGATGAGGCTTGGAGCAACCTGGTCTAGTGGAAGGTGTCCCTGCCCATGGCAGGGGGGTTGGAACTAGATGGTCTTTAAGGTCCCTTCCAACCCAAACTATTCCATGATTCTGTGATTCATAATATGAACCCAAAGCCTCATTCTTTATTCTGCAGATACAGAGCTTGTTTAATAGGAGATCTTTTTTTCCCCTCCTTACAAACCCTCACCTGTCTATAAATATTTCACAACAGAGGTAGGACTTTTAATGGATTAATACAGGATGATTTTAGTGAGACTAAAGATTAATTACATTCAGCATTTACTAAACACATACTAGTAATTCTTTCATTTCTTTTAAATACGGGACACAAACAAGATTAAATGCCTGGAGTTCTCAGTCCCTTACAGCACAGGAGAATTCTTTTTAAAAACCCTTGCAGGTTAATTACTGTATTATCAAAATGAAGTTAAAATTAGCAATGTTCATACATCAGGGACATGGTGAACTAAGCATAGGCACAATGCTAAGACAGGCTATATCCTCCTCCTACCAGGAGGTGGTAAAGAAAAAAGATTGGCAGCATTTTAAGAATGACAAAAGCATAGTCAGTAGTTCGAAAAGCTAGAGCTAAAAACCAGACAGTAATTTTACACAATTATTAACACAAAAATGAAAACACCAAGAAGTGTAATTTTTAGATTATATGCTATTAATCGAAGTAGATAATGAAAAATCTAGATACCCCTTCTCACAAACCAGTGATTTTCAGAAGAACTATGACAACTAAGTTTCTCAAGAGACCTCAAGTTTCACAGAAATCAAAGGAGAAAATCAAGAACATAATTGCCGAAGCCCATTCTATGGCAGCAAATGAAAAAAAAAAAAAAAAAAGGAATGCTTTATCCAAACAAAGAATTTGAAAACAATAATAAAATATCCTCTTCATAAAGAAAGAGTCCTGTGGTGTATTAACTACCCATCACAGCTCTCAAAGAAGAGTCTATGAATGCTTGGATTAACCTGCTGATCCATTTTCATACACACGTCAAACATTTCCAACATCATAATCATCATCCCCACCACCCCCATCATCGTAGGAGGTCAAAATTCCACCTTCTGTGCTCCCCTCTTGTTCACATTAGAAAAATAAATTGCATTCTCAGGTATAATCGATGCGGAAGCGACTGAGAAAGCGTTTCTAAGACATTCCCTACATATTATTTGAGGCTTTGCAAGGATACAAGTGAAAACTCTTTTATTAGTATAAGATACTCCCGATCTAAGTTTAGATATACCTCTTTCTGTAGGAGCTCCTCTCGCATTTGTGAAACTAGAAGGGCTTCCTGATGCCTCTGTTGTTCACTGATTTGTTCTTGGAGATGTTTTATTAGTATCTACAAAAAGGTTAAAAACAGCCATCATTAATGTAAATACCCACGACAACGCAAGAAGACCCGTACAGGGAAAATCCACCTGAAACATCATCAGTACTGTAGTGCTGCGGGCGTTAGCGATGCATATGTTAACGACACCACCTCCGACGCGCGTGCACGTGTGCCACGTAACAGGTCCCTACCTGGATCGTTAAACAGCGCGCTTGTACGTCTACGGGATATGAAAACAAGTCTCAATCTTCAAGTTACTTTCCTCAGTTAAAAAAAGAGTTCTGAAATAGTCTGCATGCAACAGCTCTTTCTCCCTTCATACCGTCTGTGCAACTTCTCCCAAAATTTTAATGCACAAATACAGGTTCTCACGGGGGACCCCGATACCTGCTGGAGGAACACCACAGCACGGCTTAAGCAACCCAGGAGGTTCCCCGAGAGTACTGATGACAACTGGCTGACCCAACTGGTGGAGGAGCCAGCGAGGAAGAGGTGCTCTGCTGGGTCTTAAACTTGCAGGCAAGGAAGGGCTTTTGTTGGGGATGTGAACATCAAAGGCAACCCTGGCTGCAGCGACCATGAGATGGTGGATCTTGAGACGAGGAAGCAGGCCAAAATGCACGATCACAAACCTGGACTTCAGGAGAGCAGACTTTGACGTCTCCAAAGATCTGCTTGAAAGAATCCCATGGGATGGCGCCCTGCGGTGGGAAGAGGGGCCCAAGATAGCTGGTTGACATTCAATAATCGCCTCCTCCAAGCATAAGAGCTTGTCCATCCCACCAAGCAGAAAGTCGGGACATAACACCAGGAGGCAGGGATGAACAAGGAACTCAGGGCAAAACTCAGACATAAAAGGAAGCATACAGACAGTGGGAAAAAGGACAGGTAACCTGGGAGGACTATGGAGACGCTGTTTGAGCATGCAGAGATGTGGTTAGGAAAGCCCAATCCCACCTGGAATTGAATCTGGTGAGACTGGCAGAGGCAGCAAGAAGGGCTTCTGTAAGCACCTAAGTGGCAAACAGGAGACTAGAGAAAATGTGGGCCTGCCGATGAATGGGGCAGGGGCCCTGATGACCCAGGACATGGAAGAGGCTGAGGTACCTCTATGCCTTCTTCCCCTCTGTCTTTATGAGCAAAACTGGCCTGCAGGAATCCAAGGCCCCAGAGACTAGGGGGTGAGTCTGGAAAGAGGAAGATACGCCCTTGGTGGAAAAGGATCTGGTCAGGGAATGCTCATGCAAACTGCACATGCATAAGTCCACGAGATGCAGCCATGTGTGCTAAGGGCAAATGTCACTCCTCCCTTCAAAAGGGGCAAGCAGGAGGATGCTGGGTGGTCAGCCTCACCTCACCTTGGGAGAGTGATGGAGCAACTGATCCTGGAAACTTGGCAGGCACATGACGGACAAGAAGCTGATCAGGAATAGCAAGCGTGGATTCACAAAGGGAAAGTCGTGCTTGACCAACCTGAGAAGCCTCTCAGATGAGGAGACTGGCCTGGCAGAGGAGGGGAGAGCAGTGGACATGGCCTTCCTGGATTTCAGCAGGCAGCTTTCAACGCTGCCTCCTGTAGGAGCCTCATAAAGAAGCCAATGAAACAGGGCTTGGATGAGCAGCGAGGTGGATTGCAAACTGACTTAAATGGCTGGGCCAAAGAATGGTGATGAGTGTAACCAAGCCACACTGGAGGCCAGTAATTCAAGGGGTGTGTAGAATTGTCAATTCTGGGTCCAATCCCGTTCAACATCTTATTAATGGTCTGGATGATGGGTCAGAGTGTTCCATCAGCAAGTTTGCTGATCATATAAAACTGGGAGGAGTGGCAGATACACCAGAGGGCTGTGCTGCCATCCAGGGGGTCCTCGACAGGCTGGAGAAATGGGCTGACAGGAACCTCCTGAACTTCAACAAAGGGGAATGTGCAAAGTCCTGCTCCTGGGGAGGAATAGCCCCTGGCTGGAAATCAGCTTTGGAGAAAAAGGACCTGGGGTTCCTGATGGACACCAGGTTGAACAAAAGGCAAATGGTATCCCGGGCCACAGGAATACGAATGTTGCCAGCTGGTGGAGGAAAGTGGTTGTTCCACTCCACTCCGGTGAGGCCACACCTGGAGTACTATGTCCAGTTCTGCACTCCCCAGTGCAAGAGACACGGAGCTACTGGAGAGAGTCTGCAAAGGGCTGCTAAGATGATGAAGAGACCGGAGCATCTTTTATGAGGGAAGGCTGAGAAAGCTGGGAGCATTTAACCCAGAGGAGAATAGGCTCAGTGGGATCTCATCAGTGTTTACAAATATGCAGAGAGGGTGCAAAGCCAACAGAACCAGGCTCTTTCCAGCAGCATCCAGTCACGGGAGAACCAGCAAAAGCCACAAGCTGAAATACAGGAAGTTCTGTCTGAACATAAGGAAAACTTCTTATCCAGGCTGGATGTGGCTTTGAGCAACCTGGTCTAGTGGAAGGTGTCCCTGCCCATGGCAGGGGGGTTGGAACTAGATGGTCTTTAAGGTCCCTTCCAACCCCAACCATTCTATGGTTCTATGACTCTTTACTGTGAGGGTGACTGAGCACTTTTTGGGTCTCCAAGCCCAGAGAGGCTGTGGAATCTGCCTCCTTGTAGATGTCCAAAAGCCATCTGTCCATGGCCCCGAGCAGCTGGCTCTGGATGACCCTGCTTGAGCAGGGGGTTGGGACAGGATGACCTCCAGAGGTCCCTGCCAACCTCAGCCTGTGATTCTGTGAACACAGTGGCACAGGCCCATGTTTGAAACAACAGAACCTACTTCAAAAAAAAGATACAGTTTATCGTACTCTAGAAAGAGATAACTTTAACAGAAATCTATATACGATATATAGATTCTATAGATATATAGATTCTATCTATCTATCTATCTTACCTCTTGTGTTGAAATTCTGCTGTTTAGTTCAGCTACTTTAGAAGCAGAATGCTCCTTTGCGTGCTGGCAAAGAATCTTCTCCACTTCCCTCTGATGGGAAGCTTTCAGAGATTCAATGTATTCTGCTGTGTCTTCCTGTATCCTGCAGAGTGAGAGGAAGATAGACAGTAAAGCAGCTACAGACAGTACTTCGAAAATGCAGCGTCAAAAACCTTAAAGGCAGCATGTCTTTGAAATTTCATAACGTGGCTCTGAAGGCATGACACAGTGGGAAGCCTACAGTTTTGGATATGTGCCTTATTTAACTAGAGACAGCTAGAACACAGAAAACTCAATCACTTCTTTTGCTCCTCTTATTAAAAAGGGAGAGAAAACAGGTGCTTTTAAATCATAATTCAGCTGCCAGGTATAGATTTGAGAACACAATGTGTTGCAATCTAAATATCCCAATTTCCATTACTTTGACTATGAAGGGATCAAAGGGACACTAGGTGAAGTGCAAAGTTCCTACAGTTGGTCAGGTAGATCCCACTGAAAGCACACCCCAGCTTGAAGGGAAGCACGTGTACCTGATATTAATGCCATGCAACACAAATCCAAAGCATCTAAAATGCAGTGATTTATACAGAGATGTTTTTACTCAAAACCATGACAAATTTTAGCATTAATAAGAAGGATTAGTATAGGTTTACCTATAGAAAGAACCATAACAGTGCACTGCTCTCAAAGAAACACTAACCAAAAAAAAAAAAAAAAAAAAATCAAAACACCCTTCCCAAACCCCAAACCAAACAGTAAAATAAATTTTACAGAGAACAGTGGCCAGGTACAAAGCAGCTTCACACACAGCCAACAAGTTACGTGTCACTTCAATCCCGTATCAGCCAACACTTCAGCGAGGTTTTTAAAAGGAACAGCCCGAGCATTTACCTTCGCATGTTATTTTCGGAATAAGCCAGGGTCGCTTGAGCCTTCACCCTCTGCTGGCTCATCTCTAGAGACAGCCTTTCCAGCTCCTCTTTCAGCTGTGCATTTTCTTGCAGAACTTCCGAGAGATCAGAATCAGAAAAGGTGTGCGGTTGGTATATTTTGTCATCATTGAAAATCCTTAGGAAGGGTTCACTGTGGCTGGAATTCCTTTTATCTGTTGCTGGGGTATTCTTTTTCAAGATCTCTGTAGAATTTTCCTTATTATCAGCTTTATTTCTCAAATTATTATCAGACAACATCACCATCCTTTCTTTTTGAAGTTTCTCCACAGTTTTTGTAAGGTCTTGTATTTCTCTGTTTTTGGTGACCAGTTCTTCATTTAGTTTTAGCAGTCTGTCTTTCGTGTTACCTTGCTTCATGTGAGAGTCTGGGGACTCTAAGTCTTTATTATCCTTTTTACTTCTGAGTATTAATTGGGAATTTTGACTTTTAAGGTTTTCTATTTCTGTCTGGAGATTTTTCACGGTGATCTGATGGGTCTTCTTTAGATTCTGAAGCTCCTGTTCAAGTTCTGCAGAACTGGCTTTATCACCATTCAGTTTTGGTGATTGACTCATAAATTTGTAGGCAAGCAGTTGCTCGAGCTCCGCAAGCCTTTGCTCATATTGTATCTAAGGGAGGGGAGGAAGCAAAGAAAAGAACACTTGAGGAAACTGCTTTATTAGCTCATCTTGTTATTCTTTGAAGTTACCGCACTTACGAAGCAAGATTTCCTACGGCAGGATACGCCTCAGCCTTACTAACAACTCTACTCAATACATTCAGAAATTAGTGAGCGAAAAAATTACGTGAAGCAAACTAAAGTCTGCTATAAAACAGATTTACTCAAAGCATTTACTGTAAAGTAATCCTCTACTCACAATGAATGCAGTAACTACGGGAAAGAAAATTAAATTGACAAGGAACCATGTCATTTTTACATAACTGAATCCTTTTCAGATATTACCAACTCAGACAGGCAAAGTACTGTTTTAATACAGCAAGAAATCTTCAATTTTTTAAAAAGCCGTCATCTGCCATGTGTCAGTGTGCAAACAGTGCCATCACATGCCTCAAAACTGTACTTCACTTTTTAAAAAAAGATGTTAAAATTTAACAGGACAGATTTTTCTTTTCATTTTTTAATAAGTAAGAATGTAGAGGTATGACTTCAGAGAGAGACAGAATCTTTCTTCCTAATGAGCTGAGGAAAACTTAACCCTTCTGAATAGCCTGGGTAGCCTCAGAGGAAAGCATGAGGAGTTACTCACACGGAGAAAAGGAGGAACAACCCACCAAATCCTTTCCTTTGCTGCTCACTAAGCACCTGCGCAGTTCACCTTTTCCTTGAAGTAAAATGCCAGGCGTCCGTGCTTCCTGACACACGTCTTCAGACGTGCTATCGTGTAGCTTTTGGACAGAATGTTTAGCGTTCCCACAAGTTCCCTGCAGAAATGCTCAGGGAGCAGACCTTCGAAACCACAGCCTCCGGTACAGCAAGGAATTTGGAAAGCAACTACTCTGACCAACAGCATGAAACCCACTTACCTTACTTGTAAGAATTAAATGATTATGCCTCAAGAACTGGTCCTCTCAGTTTCGATACTACTCTAACGATTTCAATGATCCTTTTATCTTGGGTGATGAAACTACTGAAATGCTAGTCATAAATTCTCTCAGTATTTTTTCCTTGAATGTGGCCTTTTTTGCCTTCAGTTTCCTCACTACTCTTTGTGAGACCCCAGTAACTCCCATGTTGCCCGCAGAGTAGAACTACCCAACAAGCCTCCAATCTTTACCTTTATTTTTAGAAATTGTTGTTCCATGGCACGGAGGCTTTTTTTAGCTTCATCATCTTTACCTTCAAGTTCCGTTTCTAACTTTTTTATTCTTCTCTCCAAAAAATCAACTGTGTTTGTTTTAGCTGAAAGATCAGCAGTTTTCTCAGCAGCAGCAGCAGCGTAAATCAAAGCAGGCAAAGAATTTGGATACCTTCTTTTTAGAATCCCTTCCATTTCTCTGATCTGTTGTAGAGAAAATTAAGCCAGAAGTCAAAGAGAATAAAGTTGTAATGAAAAGTGAACTGAAAGAAGTGACAGAATGTTAACAGTGGGCTGTTAATGCTGTTCAAGTATTTCCTTCTCTCCTGGACTTACATCCATGTTCTACTTTTCCAGCTGTTAACAGAAATATTTCATAGAATCACAGAAGGGTTTGGGTTGGAAGGGACCTTAAAGACCATCTAGTTCTGACCCCCCTGCCATGGGCAGGGACACCTTCCACTAGGCCAGGTTGCTCAAAGCCTCATCCAGCCTGGCCTTGAACACTTCCAGGGATGGGGCATCCACAGCTTCTCTGGGCAACCTGTGCCAGTGCCTCACCACCCTCTCCACGAAGAACTTCTTCATCTAAACCTCCTCACTTTCATAACAGTACTGAAATTATTCTCCAAATAACAGATTAAAATGCCTTTTATTTTGGAGTCATACTGCAAACACCTTGCATGCCAGACTAATAACAAGTCCCTCTTTTATATATGGATAAGATATTCATTGCATTAGGATACTGCAGAGGCTATTTCTGCTCTTCCCTACCAAATACGGCTGCCATCTCCTAAAATTCAGAAAGGCCCACTTCCACTTGACTTTTCCTCTATCGAAACATGGATTTTTAAGGTCTCTACTCCCCCAGTTTTCATGAATCTTGTAGGAATCCACTAAAATTTAAACCTCTACTCTTGAATCAAGTTTATTGAAATCGGTCATAATGTAAACAGGATTTTAACGTACAGGATTTTAAAAGGGATATTGGTAATTAACTTATTAGAACATTGTAGCAGAAGAGCCCTTTGAAAGTAAATATTTGCAGCTTTTTGGTTTAAGAGTGTTCCAAGGGCTGGTAAGTGTTGTAAGAGACCTTGTCTGAAATACAGGTTAAACACAGTTCCATTATTTCGTACCTGTCGCTCAAGATCCTGAATTCTTTTAGCGTCTGCTGCTCTGTCTCGCACACGTCTCTTCTGTTGCGCACACTGATCTCCAGCTTCAGCTCTGAGCTTCTCAACCTATCCCGTTCATGAGGAAACAAATTTAAATATATATTCGGAGACATCACTCTCTAGTACAGCAGTAATAAAAAAGAAAACATGAAAAGTAATAAAAACCCCAAAAGTCAGCATTTCAAACACACACGATGTAATGGAGGTATTCTGCAACTTAAAAATTGGTAATAGTAATTTCTGTACTAACAGATTCTTCAGATTCTTAAACTAAGTTATAGCTTCTTCAAGACTCCACATTTGATTCAGAGGTTCTAAAGAGTTAACGTGCTTTTTCTTGGAAACAAAGCAGGATTATTGTGAAGAACAGATTACATTATAATCATCACTAGAAAAGCAGTAAGTTTAAGTCCCAACTTCTTAGGTAAACTTAGATATTAGCACCTCTAGTTTTAGTTTCTCAACTTCTTTTCTTGCGTCTTTAAGACGGGCTGCGTCTTTATCCAGAAGATCTTGGTTTTCTGCATACCATTGAAGTCGTCTTTTTAAATTACTGATTTCCTGTTTGTATGATTCCTCCATAACTTTAAATTCATAAGACTTCTCACCTATAAAAATAAAACATCCTTAGTATTGTTTTATTAGGAATTATGTATTGAAGAAGTAATTAGTCAACACTGTCATTCTCAGCATGTTTCATGCACTTACTCTTTTGACAATCCTGTTACTGGAGTAAAGTTTTAAAACCAGACCCTAATTAGGAATTTAAATGCGACATTATTTGAAAAAAACCTTTTTTCTCTCATAGGCAGTAGTACTCAGTGGTGCTCAATCCCAGGGGGATCTATTCTTGATCATGTTCTAGTAAGCAAGTTTTCCGTAACAACATGGATGACAATATATGCTTAGATATGTATTGAACATACTCCTCCAATTTAGGAGTCAGGCTTTTTGAGGAGACGTGGAGGAAAGTACGACAGCCTTTAGCACTTGTGATGCGTGATATTGGGAGTGAAAGAGTCCAGTTCCCGGTCCTCTCTCATTAAGAAAGCTAAAGACAAACTGGAGAGAATTCTGATAAGAATGTTGGAAAAAGAAGTCCCAAGGCATAAGTTATCGGTAAAAAATTGTCAAAATCTAAATAGGAGACAAGGATGAAGCATAGTAAATCTTTTGTAATGAACAGAGTTGTGATATAAATGGAAGCGTCTGTTTTCCATGCTCAGTGGAGGGTGGGCAAGAAATCAAATTTAAAAGGCAACAACAAAGAGGTTGGCTGGATACAAGAAAAGGGTCTCTAACAGAGTGCCAAAGGTACTGTAGCATGCCCCTCACGGGATGCTTTTATTAGTTTAGACAACAATTGGAAGTGGTCTAGATGCATTTGACTATGCAATATTTTAATAAGAAACAAGTTTTAGTTACATATTTATTGACTGAAGCACAGACTAAGCAAAATTATTCACCCAAACAGTGCTTTACCTGATGTGGATGCAATCTGCACTTTTGCTAAATCCCTCTCCTTCTTTGCTTGTCCCAAATCTACCTCGAGACCTTGCTTATCTTGTTTGAGAAGTCTTATCTCTTCTCGTAATTTAGTTTCTTCCTTCTGGGTTTTGAAGAAAACGGTAAGGCAAGAAAAAAATAACCACGCTTTTTCACCATAAAATGATTAAATCACCACAGCTGCAGCAGCAGCAATCAGGTTTCCAAGTTTTGGTATTACTGTCAGGCCTTGCTATAGCAGAGCATGGGAAAACTCAAGCTGAAGATGAAACAACCCCGTATATGTAACTGTAGTAAGTCTTACGTAACTGTTGTAGAGTAGAAAGCTTGTACTGACCTTTTGAGACGGTCAGAAAACTGTTTTACTCACTTCTCAGATTTAAGACTGTAGCTTCGATGGACGGATGCATTATCCAACAGTTCATCTTACTCCGCTCTGCCTCTCTCTCACCATTTTCTGCATGCACCCTCTCTGTTTACATGCGATCCCTAGCAAATGCCGAGACTAAGGGGGACCAAAGGTCTCTGTGCCAGCTTCTGGACAGAGGCTAAGATGTTGGAGCCAGACAGTAAACAGACCAAGTGTCTAGGGCCAGCGATGGCCAGCACATGCATGGATGTGTGTTCCTGCTAGCGAACTCCTACCCTCATCTGCTGAACTGGACCAGTCCGCATGCGCTCCTTACGTTTCCCAGAGTACTGTTAGTATTTCTGGGGTGTGAGCAAAAGCACTGCTCTCTGTATTATCTGTGTGCCTGACCATGTTAGTGTTGTCCGTGTGTCTCTCTCCATCTTTGGATCTTGTGTTCAGTCCCATTACAACCTCAGCCTAAGGACAGGGAAGTGTAGCAGCAGAACCTGTGAGGTTGGAATTAGGGGAAGTCCCATGACTCTTAAGAGCTCCAATGAATGCCTCTGCTGGTCCTGAAGCTCACTGGATCCAGATCTTCTTATCTCATCTAACCTTACTTTATCTTACCTGGCCAGTTGTTGTTTGTTTGAAAAAAAATGATCCAAAACCAGAAGAAGCAGCTTTTAATTCCTGGTCTAACTATCAGAGGAAGCATGTACCAGAACAGTCCCCCCACGTGCAATAAGCAAAGCAACAGAAGTTCCTGAAAACCTTTAATTTTAACCCCAAGCTTAGTAAACATCCTTCCTCAAAACCACAAACATCTCTAGGACTATAAAAGAAGTTACATGAGGGAACAACAAAAGATTGTTTTCACTCTGATGTTATTTTCTAGAACTTAGGGATTTGTCTTACGCTGGAAAGCTGTAGAGGTATCGCTGCTTTCTGCAAGCTCTCACAAGGGGTTTCAGAATTGCCAGTAAACACGGCAATGCTGCACTTCCTTCAGTGAATCGATGTCTTAGGGGCTTCCTTCTGATAGTTCAACTGATGAGACATTTGTGATATACAAGGGTGGCAGATAACGCTGTAGAGGAGCAGTATGCTCCACTTTTAATTTGCATGATTAGCCTACAGTATGGATGGCTATGTGTTTTTTGTAAGAACGCATGAAAAACAGGCTTGGTATATACCCACCTGTGCTGCTCGAAGCTCTGAAATCAATTCTGTGAAACTCTGGTTTCTGGCTGGTTCAGAATCCTGCACGATTCGTGACTGCGTATTAGTCTTCTCGATCTTCTCTCTAAAGAGCAACAGCAAAACCAGTAATGCAACGTGATGACTTGGCACGCTAACAGTGGTGCACTAAAAACCAAACAATCCCCTCCCCAGATCACAGAATCACAGAACGGATTGGGTTGGAAGGGACCTTAAAGACCATCTAGTCCCTTAGGTAGAGGGGGAGAATCCCCTCCCTCGACCTGCTGGCCACACTTCTCTGGATACAGCCCAGGATACGGTTGGCTTTCAGGGCTGCCAGCGCACACTGCCGGCTCATGTCCAGCTTTTCACCCACCGGTACCCCCAAGTCCTTCTCAGAGCTGCTCTCTATCCATTCTCCACCCAGCCTGTGCTTGTGCTTGGGATTGCCCCAACCCAGGTGCAGGACCTTGCACTTGGCCTTGTTGAACTCCATGAGGTTGGCAGTGGCCCACCTCTCCAGCCTGTCCAGGTCCCTCTGGATGGCTGGTACCACCAAGTCCATCCTTACAGGCTCAAAACAAAGAAGCCACTATGCAGTATGTCTTTCTACCAAAAGATTCACCTGTAAGGTGAAATCTTCAGGCCTCACACAAACTTGTTTGTTGGGACCACGCAAGGGAGGGAAACAAAACCCACTCTGCGCCAGCGGAACTCATCTATGGGCCTCTCCCAAGCCAAGATTTGTAAATTAGGAGTACACACAATTGCTAGGATTTTTTCCTGGTTTCTAGCACAGGAAGCAAATCCGACAGGACCTTCAGTGCAGTGAATTGAATGGCTCTCCCAGTACCTGGATCTCTCGTGGCGCTTCCTCTACTGTCCACCTTCCAACAGCATCAAAACATTCTCACACGCCAGCAGAGCCGTGATACCAGAACACGTGTAGCATAGGTATTACACGGGCTGACATGGATAACCATATTTGAATTTTAGCACTGAAATATTCCCCGAAAGGAAGCGTACAGTCTTCCCACAGGTCTCCCACATCAGCAAGACGACCAAGAATTAAGCGTCCATAATCAACATAAATCAATTCTCAAAAGAAAATAAAACAAAACCACAAACCCAAAACTCTGGAAAACATGCACCTGAGAGACTGCAGTGATTCTTCATCAATAAAAATGATAAACACAGCTGAAAACTCCAGAGATTTTAGGTCAGATGATTGAATAAGCCTACCTTAGGGCTATTAATTCGGACATTAAACACTGATTCTCCTTAAACATTCGTTCCTCATTATTTTTGTTTTGGATTTGTAGCTCTTTCATTTGTTTGTATAACCTCTCATTTTCCTAAGACGAAACAGATAAAGTTAAGGAATGCTGATAAATTACTGCTTTACCCATTTCAAAACCAATTTTCTATAACTTTCACACTAAGAACACATAAGTGGACGGGTGCTGATAGACCAGAGCTCTGCTTGCTCATGCTCTGATCCTGTGGGCACAAACCATCACCGACTCGGGATGCTCACAGCCATGCTGGCAAGGAATTGTGCCTATCCCAAGAAATGCTGCTGAGCACCAGCTGGAAGTTGGTTAAACTAACCTATTTGATTTTACAGCTGCAAGTACTCAAAGGGATCGCTAAGCTTCCATCATCTATTTCTACACTGACTAATAAAACCAGGCACATTAATAAGGTTTCCTTCGTATCAGCTGCTCATACTACGTGAAAAACATCTTAAACAGAACCCTCCAGATTTCTAATATTGCTTAAGAATACTAGATTTCTTCTACATCTGGGGTAAAAAGGTTGTGGTTCTTTATTGTCCTTAAAGTGTTTTCCCAGTTCCCAACTTACCAGTCAGAATATTTTTACATTTTAGATTGTAGAAAAACTTAGCCCAAACTAAACCTGTGAAATACTTTTGAAAGGTGCAATACATGTTTGTCCTTCACGCCTGAATTTCATCCACTTTTTAGATAGCAAGATAACCGTACTCATCAGAAAAGTAGCAGCCATTAAATAATTTTGTTTCTGAACCAGAACACAGCTCAACATGCTGTGTGACATACCTGTTGATATCCCTGAATAATGACCTCTTGATCTTCAATTTCTTTTTGTATTTCTGCCAGTTTTTCTTCAGTAACAGGAACCGTTGCTGTACGATGGGTCCATCTCTTTTCTTTAGTCAGCTCTTCCATACTTCTTAACTTTCAGGAAGAAAAAAGACATGCAATTAAGAAGAAAGTTTTGTATGGAATTCTCTACCAGACTATGCTTTATATTATAAATAGGTCAATACACTAAGATATGAAAGCAGACCTGTGAGCCACTCTTACGGTTGGAATTTTACAGAAGCATTACAGAACAGGAACAAAGTATAAAAAGTTTGGGAAAAGTTAAGAAAGTTTTACGTTCCCCCTTCTATTCTTATGTATCTAGACATAATATATAGTATTTGTCTATAGAAACAAGTGATATCTGTTAATATTCTTTTGGGTTTTGTTTTAACATAAGAGTTAAATCTTTGCAAAAATCCTGCTGCAGAATTCTCAGAATAGCAAACTAAAGGAACCCAGGATAACAGAGTTTCTCTCACATAAAGCTGGTGTCTTATGGGCAATACATGTAAGCGTGGGTATGCATTTACAAACTGGCAGCACATGTGTAAATCTGGATTTTCTGCTCATTAACAACTCGCGTAAAACAACGCCAGTTTAGTTCTCAGAAACAACACTTCTCCTGTTCTACAGTAGCGGGATACAAGGTGATTAGGTACCTTGCTCTGAAGAACATAATTTTCCTGACCCAACCGAGAAAGCTCTTTTTCGTGCTGTGTTTTCAGTTCCAGTAGCTTTGTCTCCATTTCCTTCTCTTTTTGCGAAACCGTGCTGGTTAGCTGTTGAATCAAATCACGAGCCGTCTTCAGGTCCTCCTCTGCAACTTGCACTCGTTTTAGCAAGTATAGTTCCCTATCACAGCTTTTGGTAGGAGAAAATGCTAAGTCCTAGTGAAGAGAAAAAAATCAGGGAAACATTACACTGAGCTGATTGTTTACCAAAAATTCCACTCATGGGTTTTATTTCACCGGCTTGTCTGGCTCTCGGCAACTACACACAGCACTTGAAAAGGGAAACAAAACCAACATCCAAATAGCAACACGTCCTGTGTTTAATTTAATGAGCTACTTTCTCATTTCCAAAACACACATAAGGAAAACAAACAAACAAAAAAACCCAACAAGGACCAAACACCTCTAATAGGAGAGCCACCGCACAGCTACCAGAATTACTCTATTATGCATCTTACTTTCTGAAAAGCAGTAATGATTCAAGTATTCAATGAATCTTTTTTTATCCAGTTTGTAAGGAAGAAGGACTGCAGTACCATCATGGTACTGCAACTTCGGTCCTCTTGGAGAAGTCAGAAGATGCTATTAAATATCCTATGGAATGCATACAGTGCTACTATATAGTGCTACTATATGCATTGTTTTTTTTTTTTTTTCTATTTAACATTCACAACAGAACACTTTCACTCTAAAAGTTTTATTTACATTTTTTGATTTCTACCACAAACCAGTAATTTTTATAAATTAATAAGCATTCCAACTCGAAGCAGGTAGAACCACACAAGTAACAGAATTATCCCAAGCAACTGAAAAGCAGTATGATTACACTTGCATATTATAAAAACAAAAGCTAGTATTTGACTAAAAGGAAGCCTTTATTCAATTTTTCAGCATTTGCCAATCTTGGGATTAATTATTTTAAGTCTTGACAATATAGGCTTGCAAACCACGTTGTACATACGACAATTAGGAGCACCACTGATTATTACTTACATGCTGATACTGCCTGCAATAATCCACAGCCTGGTGTCCGAGATTATTAACAACTGCTTGGCCAGACACAACTCTGTTAATACTTCCCTTCGAAGCTGGTTCGTTTGTTGCAGATCTTATTACCCGAGTAGCAAATAAGGCTTCTTCGTTTAGGCAGAAAGTAAAATAGAACAAGATTAAATTCAGAATTTAATGTCCTTTCAAAAAATTCTATACATGCGATCCACCCCTTAGGCATATAAATCAGGTGTTTTACAACCTGGATTTTGAATTAGAAACTTGAGAGCAATGAGACATTATGGACAATGTTGTGGTCATCAGTCGCTCACTTAAAAAAAAATGAAAAAGATGATTAAAACAAAACCCAAGGAAACAACTGAAACAAGCAGCTGGCTAATAAATCCTTCACGAAGCAAGGTTAGCACCAGTTCTCTGCTCGAGAAGTGGCCGGTTATCTGAGTATACAGAAATGCAACATATTTCAATCTATGGTGAAGAAAAGACACAGCCATTTTCAAACTGGACTTCAATGTGCAGACAGCATACAAAAACATGCAACATTTATTTTTTGCATCAAACAGCAACTTGACTGGAAATAGAAAATCAGGGAAGTTCCCCCTAGAGAGTAACTAACATACATGGAACTACTCACACCTTAGTCTTGTGAAATACAGATAGTTGTAGTTACTATTAACTACAGCAATTAAAGCTAAGAGCACCTGCTTAGGAATGTTGTACCTGAAAACAAACAGGCATTCTCCAAACGGAATACTTCTTACACTTCCCACACTATCCCCTCACAAGGATGCTCCCTTGGCACTGATGATTAGGGGACTGTTTGGTTCCATGCCATTTTCTTCCTAGCTGTAGAGGTCCCTGCGGAACGCATCCTGGTGAGATGCCACAGGGGTCCCCTCCAGAACACATCCTGGCGAGGTTAACTTCTGAAGCTATGGAGAATGGTTATAGCCGGAGAGGGAAGCACATGTTTGAATGAGGCTAGTGGCCTCATCTTCCCCAGACTCATCAGCCACTTCCACCACCTCCATCTGGCTGAGCACCCTTCTCTTCTCCAGGGAGCACCACAGCAGTGCCCTGAGGAACGAAGGGCCCTTAGTTTGACAGCTGCCACTGAAGCATCTCCCCAGGATGGGCAACATCATCCTAAACTGCCTTTCCCAAAACTACTTGTGTTTTTTTTTTTTAAAAGCATTACACCCTAGAAGTGCACTAAAACCTGGGCTTCTGTAGAGTGATTTTTGTGTGCCTCAGAGATGGCAAAAATCGTCTACAAAGATGCTAAGCTGAATTATCTCATGAAACTCTTCAGGCTTCACCCAAAAATAAAGATGTTAAGTCCTTTACTTGAAACTCAGCTGTCACAGAACTACGCTGATATTCTCCTTTCCTTAGTGTCACAAGAGACATGAACAAGAAAACAGGACTTTCTTTTTAGTGCTTCCTTTGCATTCTAGCAGAGCAGAGATAAAAAGAAGTTGAGAAGAGAAATTCGGCATCACGTAGAGAGGTTGGTGTTGCTTTTACTGTAATCAAAAATAAATATCTAAATGTTGTGTTTTTCATCAACAGCTTTTTCCATGCTTTAGGTCCTACTGGTGAACAACAGGTAAGTCTCAAACATAGTGGTGGTGTAGGTGAGTGTAAACGAAACAAGACTGCAGTGCAAAGCTTTACTTAAAAGTCTCTCTTACAAATTCGTGCTGTTACAGAAAAAATTCAATACTTCATTGCATTTGGGTTTAGATTTCTCTTACAGCGTTTTGAAATTGTTTTTAAACATGAAGCATGAGCAGCAAAGCTCTCTGGTCATTAAAACTCTGACTTCTTAGGCTAGAATTACCTTTAAATCTTGCTCTGTCTGCAGGACTTTTGGCTTTCACACTGGTCCTTTTGAAAGTTTCTTTTGGTGCTTTCTTTTCATTAGCTGGAAAAGACTGTTTTGAGAGTGAAGTGGATTTCCCATACCCAGAACTTCTAACCGCCCCACGAAGACCATATGAAGATTTCTTTTTAAGGAAAGGCGCTGGACTTTTAATATTCTTGTCTAACATTGGTTTAGTTGTCAGCGATTGCGATCTTGTGTTCTTCAAGGAACAAGACCGGGGAGCCTGTGACAGAGCACATTTGTTTAAAGCAAGTTTTAGGCCTTAGTGTGACCTGAAGGTAGCTTTCGCTACTAGCAAAACATAAAACCGGTTACCAGAATTACACAGATGTAAGACTTAACGGTGTCGGGACGCGTGACTTAACCAAATGAACAGTATGTCACTTTGCAGAATTTACTACCCTTTACTACTTCACAAGCATATGCAGCGCAGGTGTTTTGCACCGGCTCTGTTTCATTGTTCTGGGAAGTTGTATTTATTACAGGATCTTGAGCTTCTGACTACAGGCTGATTGCAATGAACACAGAAACCCAGCAACCGTGTACTGGGCTGTATCAGGAGAAGTGTGGCCAGCAGGTTGACGGAGCTGAATCTGCCCCTCTACTCTGCTCTTGGGAGACCCCACCTGGAGTGCTGCGTCCAGCTGTGGAGCCCTCAACATCAGAAGGATATAGACCTGTTGGAGCGAGTCCAGAGGAGGCCACGAAGATGCTCAGAGGGCTGGAGCCCCTCTGCTATGGGGACAGGCTGAGAGAGTTGGGCTTGTTCAGCCTGGAGAAGAGAAGGCTCCAGGGAGACCTTATTGCACCTTCCAGTACCTGAAGGGGCCGACAAGGAAGCTGGGGGGGACTTTTTACAAGGGCCTGTAGGGACAGGACAAGGGGTAACGGGTTTAAATTGAAAGTGGGGAGGTTTAGATTAGATATCAGGAAGAAATTCTTCCCGGAGACGGTGGGGAGGCACTGGAACAGGTTGCCCAGAGAAGCTGTGGATGCCCCATCCCTGGAAGTGTTCAAGGCCAGGCTGGATGAGGCTTTGAGCAACCTGGTCTAGTGGAAGGTGTCCCTGTCCATGGCAGGGGGGTTGGAACTAGATGGTCTTTAAAGACCCTTCCAACCCAAACCATTCTGTGATTCTGTGAAGAAAGGAACAGCGGCAGACCGAGGAGCCTTACTAAACCTGATCATCAAAAACAGAGCACAAAACTCGTAAGACCAGCAAATGAGAAAGCTTTGCCTGTTGGCCCTGGTGGGAAACCATCAGCATCAGTCAGCCAAACCACCTCTCTCCATGCAACGCTTTGCAGACAGAAGGGGTGACTGCCTAGAGGAGTGAGTGTGGGGCTAATTCAGGGGACTCAGGGAGAAGAGAATTTGGGTATGCTTGGAGACAATTTGGGATTGTGTAAATCTTGTTATGGAATGTTTGAGAGGATTGTGAGAATGTGAAAAACTTACAGGATGTTTAGGGAAAGGAAAAAAAAATGGGTAAAGGGAGAGATTAATGGGGATCAGGTAGGAAAAAGTGTGGGAAACAGAGGGGACAAGATTAAAGAAGCTGGTGACATGACCAGGTTGCTGGTCAGTACGCTTGTTTGACCAGGCCCTACACCGATCGCTGCCATGTCTCCTGTATTCTTATGGAGCTGTATTTTAAACTGTCCTCTCTGTATGTACACTCTCTATTCCGAGCCTCTGTGTGGGATCATACGCGTCCCCCCAGTGGGAATACGTACTCAGATACATGTATATGTTTTCAGCTTGAGCTAGGGACGTGGAACTGTGGCAGCCTTGCACGTATTGGGCCAGCCGAGGAAGAATCCCACTGATCCCAAAGTCCACTGGATTTGGCTGCCTCTAACAATAGCAATGGTGGCATGAGATTTTCAGGCAAAATATCAACCATCTCTCAATTTCTAAATGTCAAAGCATAACCAACTGACAGGCAGTCTAAAAAAAATACACACCTTAAATGTATTTCTATATAATAAAAATCTGGTTGATCTTACTTACCTCTCTAGTTCTGCTGTCCCGTGAAAGCAGAGAGTCTTGTACTATCTCTTCTCTCGGTACATCAGGCGGTACTTCACCGGTGTGAATTTCTTTCTCGGTCTCCCTCTGTAAGTCACTGTCATTCACAGCTGTTTGCAGAAAGATGCTCTCTTCTCTGTCAAGTTTCTCAAGTAAGTTTGTCTCCCAAACTGTATTATTCCGGTGCTCTTTACAGGCTGACGGGCTGACAAGTTCATGTGCTGTGCTGCCTGCCAGTTTCAAAGGACTGCAAGAGAGAGGAATACAGTCTTGTTATAAATGATTTTCCCCTTTGCTTTTCTATCACTCTGGAAGAAGTGGGCCATTTTTCCTTTAGGTATCAGCTGTGAAGACTGCTTGAATTTGAAAGAGCCACCAGTCTCCACACTGCTGCTTATCACCCACACGAAGTTTGGGAATCCTTGGTCTAAAACAGTTAACCCTGTATATTCATTCTACAGTTTACTAAAATGCCATAATGCCAGTGCAAGGCATAACAAAATTTCAGTATTTAATTAGTGAAAAAGAAAGACTAGTTATTTTGTAAGCTGTTTTTCACAAATAGTTAATGGAGTTCTCAACATCAGAAGGATATAGACCAGTTGGAGTGAGTCCAGAGGAGGCCACGAAGATGCTCAGAGGGCTGGAGCAGCTCTGCTATGGGGACAGGCTGAGAGAGTTGGGCTTGCTCAGCCTGGAGAAGAGAAGGCGCCGGGGAGACCTTATGGCACCTTCCAGTACCTGAAGGGGCTACAAGGAAGCTGGTGGGGGCTTTTTACAAGGGCCTGTAGTGACAGGACAAGGAGTAATGGGTTTAAATGGAAAGTGGGGAGGTTTAGATTGGATATCAGGAAGAAGTTCTTCACAGAGAGGGTGGTGAGGCACTGGAACAGGTTGCCCAGTGAATCTGTGGATGCCCCATCCCTGGAAGTGTTCAAGGCCAGGCTGGATGAGGCTTTGAGCAACCTGGTCTAGGGGAAGGTGTCCCTGCCCATGGCAGGGGGTTGGAACTAGATGGGCTTTAAGGTCCCTTCCAACACAAACCATTCTGTGATTCTATGACTTAGGTTATTACAATTCTTAAAACACTTTCTGAAATAAATACCTTTCAGGCTCCAAATCAAAACCTCTGGTATTACATGAATGTCCTTTAATAGGTTTCATCAATTCTTCCACAGTAGGCAAATCTAATTAGTGGAAAATAATAAACCAATTAAAATAAAAGTAATATTTATAAAAAGGATGACATTTTAAAATGTTTCATAATGGAATATTAATGGTATTACTAGTTCACTCACACGCTTGCACAAGCCACACATGCCTCCGAGGTATTTACCCGATTCGGCGGTTGACAAGTTTTGTGAACAGTTGTTATTCTGCGAAACACCTTGCACTAAGCATTTGGGGACTGCAGCATCGTGCAGCTCTTGCTCCTCAGTGTCTCCCAAAGCCTGACCAATCTGATGATACGCCTGGTGTAATGCTTCGATGTTGCTGGTGGTTTGGCCATAGGAAGCGCCTGTGAAAAAATGCAGGTTCACAAGAGACATTACAGGACGTTCTGTTCTGGGAAATGCCACGCCGGAGCCCGCGTTTCAGTTCCTAGCTTGGTCTGTTATCTGGCGAGAACAGCGTTTTCAGTTATGAAACAGAAAAAATTATCTTAAAAAGCCCATTTTTACTATAAAAATAAAGAGTTGACAAGTTAATTAGTACATACTAATTAATTAGTCTCATTTACAGTTTGCATGCCCTTCCTCTCCCCCACTCCGGTATTTTCCCAGTAAGAAAACTAAAAGTATATGCGATACAACTATGTTAACAGACACCACCAGAGCCACACTCTGGATGTAAGTGGCATACACTGTGGTACGAAGTTTGACAAAAGAATGTATTTTATCATTGTGCTCAATGCTGTCAAAGAAGAATTTTAGCTATGATGAATAACCAAAGGAGGTGGTATTTAAATCAAACTGCAATGTCAAATGTAGCTTTAAAATACCCAAGTGTAAAAAAGTGTCATGGTTTTTCCCCAAAAGCATTTCCTCCTCCTTTCAAGATTTTAGTAAAAGCCAAGGGCTTCATGTTCACTGACAGCCCAAAATAGCTCACCAGAGCCACCAGTTCAGAAGTCAGATATGGGGTTATGTTGGCTGTTCTTTTTTTTTTTTTTTTAAAGCAACTCTTACCTGCTTCGTTCATTTCAGTTCCACTGGCTTCCTGAGGCAGATAATGTTCCCCTAAAGCTACATCTGACGTTTCAGCCGCCTTTTGAAGTTCTGTAGTTGAATCTTGTGAATCAAGTAATACAACTAAAACCAAGAAGATAAATGTTAAAGAAAACACAATTCTGTTATTAATACTCTGTCTACACTGGTATTAGGAGAATGCCAAAGCTGATCCTGATGCTTTCAACACTCAAAAATGCTATATAGGTTATCCTACTGCCATTAATGGTAAACTGGTTACCTCTGACTGGAAGCATTGAAATCCGAGTACTGACTAGTCACAGTAAAATAAAAAGTTAAACTGATAATCACTTTGAAGTGCTAACATAGGGATTAATTTTTAACCATTTCAGTCCAACAGATTTTCAGTAGAACACAATAAAATCAGGTGAAAATTATCAAAATAGTAAAAATCTGATAAGAAAGTTTCAAAAATTTACATTTAGCATCCTTCTACTTATCAAAGTTTGTATTTTACCTTTAGCCAGCATGCCAGTGTTTTTTTCTTCTTCCTAAGAAAAATAAATTTATAAATATTACTTTTTGAATTTCAGGGGAAAAAACCCCAACCCTGAATGAACTTTAAAAATCAGTCCAAAAACTAAAAACAGTTCTTAGTGCTCCAAAAATACGCACTTCTCTAAAACTCTCCTTAGGATGCCAAGAGGTCCTCAACACCCTGTACTCTTAACAGCCCTCTCACAAGTGACCAGGAACTAAAGGCATAAATGCATTTATGAATGCATTTGGAGGAACTCCATACATGAAATAATATCTTTGCACCTTCCTGGTTCTCTCATATCATAATTTCAGAAAAGAAAATAACATAGCACTAAGTACATTACACTTCTGTTCTATTTGTTCTTTTCAAACATTTATTAGAAATACTACTCTAATAAACTTCTTAAAAAGAATTACAATAAAGAATTTAAGTGCAAATATGGTGTAAAAAAACCCCATTGCAATATGTGCTCCAGGAATGCACCCGATGTGCTCCAGGAATGTGTTTTCCACATCAAAAGGCCTGACTAAACTAGCTGATATTCGAAGCTCAGAGTGTAGATTTTGGGTCCTCTCTCCAAACCGCTTTTCTGGACAGAACTACTTCCCTCAGTCTGTGCCACTCACTGGTGTAGACACCATCTCAGTAGCTCCAACAGAGACATTAATCACTACCCATCCTGAGCCCAAGACTCCAGCCAGAGCTCATCATTTCCACACTCCCATCCACAGCTCTTAATTCAAAGGAGGAATAAGCAGGCAACCCCGTGAAGAACTTAATCCTTTTGGCGATACAACATAAGATAACGTATATCCTTAAGAAAAGAATATAATCCCTGGACAGCTATAGTCCTTTCTTTCAGACAGTACATATTATATAAGGGTTTACTATATCTACAGTTACACACTGCAGATATTTTACAATTTGTGCAAGTAATATAAATATTTGATAAGTTATACCTGTTCTTGAGGACTTAAATCAACTCCTGACATAATGTTTTGATTCACGTGACTTCCCTCAGTTTGACAGGCAGGATTAGCATCTGTTTCTTCTTCAAAATCTTCACTGTAACTGCCTGAAGAGTAAAATAAACATCAAACATTAACGAGTAACTAAGGTAAAGCAATAAGGGAAAAGCTATTTCCATCTCCCCAGCCTCTCAGCTAAGAACAGCTCTCGAACCTGTTACTCCTTTCACAAAGGCAACAAAAGGTTCCTTCCACAAGTTCTGAGTCCCTGCTGCCATATCAAACCCATTCAGCTCCTGCGGTCACAGGCCTCAGTGTCTGCACCGTCTGTAACTCTTAAATCCAGAAGCATTGCAGAACACCGGTTCATAATGAGAGAAAACACAGGAGGAACCCAACTGACACAGCCTAATGCTCATATAAAAAACTAAGCTATGAAAAGTCACTATTTGTGTTCTCTTTGGTTTTGGACTGTGAGAAGCCTGATCAGCTACAAAAGGCTTTCTCGCCCTGACTTAAGACACACACAAGGCTTACACTATGCCTACACATTTATTATCCACAATTTTCTTGGCTATTCCATGAAACAGCCATTTGGCAAAGACTAAACCAAACCACAGGCAACACAGAAATTGGTCATTTCGGGTATTGCACAGAAACTGTTTTCCTAAAAATCAGAAGTGTCCATTTCATAAAACTGCCCATAGCAATCAAGTAATTTCAACTGTTTGGTTAGGAAAAAGGCTACAAAATTGTTGCAGCTTTTCTGCTACAGCTATCACGAACTCTTGCAGTCTAGAGAGTAAATCAAGGTTTCAAGGAGAAAAGATTTCCTGTGATTGAGGTTTACAAATACAATCTCCTTATGGTTGGGAAATTAAAGCCTGAAAATAGGACCTGTCAAAAGTTCAGCTGAATATATAAATTGGAAAACACAGTCTGTTGATTAAATTGCAGGGAGACACTCTATCATATGTTAGCAGAGAAAAGTGAAACAGGGAGAGATGACAAGTGAAAGACAAGCAAGATGGAAGGAATGTAGCATGGGAATTTGGTAAAAAGATCAGGTAAGAGTAATACTGTAGATTACAAAGATTAAACTCAGTCATGAAAACACAGTACAAAAATGCAGATAACAGTTAAGACCGGAGTGACTCAATCATTAAGATGTATTTCAATATCAGAGTCACGTTTTCTTCAGTTATTATCAACAGTTGTTTGTGGGGGGTGTGGTTCTGTTTTTCTTTCAGACATTGGTCACAACTGATTAAAAATTAACTTCAAAACAAACAAAAAAAAAAGCACAAAACAAAGGCAAAACCCTCTGTCTGAATACCATCTGCAAAGTCATAATGCAAAGGAGTCCAATGAGAGAACTGGGTC